TTTTGGCATGGACAGAGTCGAAAAGGTGGGTTGAGGTCTTTGTGGTGGGTAGAAGCCAGAATTGGGCGTTATGAAGCTAGAGCTGTACGCGTGACCTAAGGAGGGGGTGAAAGAGCCCCTTGGGGGTCTAACCAGAGAGACCGAAAGGGCTCCTGGCACTGTTTGTGTAAATGGATTTGGGGATGGCTGTAAAAACGGTGGTGGTGCCGGGGAAGGAAAACCAAGAGGCTGGACAAATGGTGCAGCTGGAGGGGGCACAAAGTCACTTGCCGAGACAAAGCCACCTGCGGAGGGTGGAGCGGCTGAGCTGTGCAGGCTGCAGGGACCTTGCTGTGGGCCAGTGCTTTGCCAGCTGGCTGTTTTTAAGGGATCCAGGAGATTCAGAAGGTAGTCGCTTTCGTTACCTGTATTATCTGTCTTCACCTTGACAGGCTGGAGCATCTCAGCAGTGCTGGTGGCACTGGACAAAAGCTGAGACGGATGAGAGGAGTAATTTGCAGACTGCTGGATTTCAGGGTCTAAGGACATACTGCCAACTCCAAAGGGCTCTGGGATAAGCTCTGAACCCAGATGGCCACGTCCCGTCGCGTGGGGGGTGAGGAGTTCTACTGGCGCAGGTGGAGTCTGATGCTTGGAAGCCCGGGGTGCTGGCGGCGGCGGTACTATCCCCAGTTCAGGAGTCTTTCTTCCCTGTGGCCTGGGAATGGTGATGTTCCCTTGAAAGGCAGAACTGGAGTCGTCCTTTCCCACAGGAGCCAGGATGCTGTCTCTGCTCCGGGGTCTCCTTGTGACTGGCGGCATGTTACCGAGAGCCGTCAGGGGCCTTTCCGGGGAGCTTTGGGAATACTTGCTAGGAATAGCCATATCATCATGACCCATGCTCCACAGCTTGTTGTAAGGGTGAGACAGCTTCATGGTTGGCACAATCCTGTTCCTCTCAGACACACCAAGATCCATTCTCTGCAAGGAAGCATGAAACAACCACTTAACTCGTACTGATCCCCCAGAATAGAACATAAAGTGGGGATGGGCTGCTGTGCTGTGACTGGAGAGGATCTGACGGTGAACACGGAGAGGGACCACAGCATGGAGCCTAGGGCAGACAGGAAATCAGAAGCAGGACTCTGCAGTTTTGATTCCAGCTCTGCCTTTACTGGCTTGCTGAGGCGTTACGCGTTGGGGCATCTGTCAGCCAAGTAGGGAGCACGTACCTGTGTCTAAGGTACAGAAACTGAGAAGCCTTAACTGCCGTATGGAAAAAGCTGTCAAATGAAATATCTGGACATAACACTAAATTAAATATTATTATAAGGTAGAAATGACATTATTTTCTTTCATGTCACATGAGGATCTTGGGGTCTGCTTTAGTTTGGCACTAAGCTGCATATATCCACTGAAGTTCTTCATAAAGAATCTCTCTTCTACAAGTCTAGATTGTCCAAATGATGCCCAGAACAAAATATCCAGATCAGAAGGAAGTCATTTAAAAAACATGCAGTTTGGAGGGGACCTGAAAATTCCCAGGTGTTCGTTCTCACTGCTGAGCATCAGCTTCAGCGAGAACTCTGTGTGACAGCCGAGGGACAAAACAGACTCTGGGGGACATCGCAGATACTTCCTCCTTTAGAAGTAAAGGCTGTAGTTATAATGGAAAAAGTTACTGTCTGATAACCGAGTCCCAGTGCAATAATTTCTTAATTCAGAAATGAACAGTGAGCGCGTGAATGAACGTCAGGAAAACGGATGCATCTACACAATAACATGAAAATGTCCCTCAGAGAACAACGGATGGCAGCCAGCAACCCCCCAGCATACAGGGAACCCCGCCCAAACCTGGTAATCAAACGTGCATCGCTGATCTCCCTCTTCCTTGGGAGTGCGCAGGTCTTCCAGGCTCTTGGCTTGGCTCAGGGGCTGCGGCTGCGCTTCTACTTCTAAGTTAGGGAAAATGTCTTCGAGGAGGTTGATTTCTGTGGCTTTGCTTGGGAGCGGAGGGCTTGGAGGTGGAGGCTCCTTCTGTTTTTCTGGACTGACTGCCTCTTCCCCATCAGCGCTGTCGGATTCCTTCAGGGCCCGGTATGGCTGAGGCCTGGGAGAGACACAAAAATCATGCTGCAAATGTCAGTCAGCCTTTTTGCTTTTTAAACAAGTATTTACTGAGGGGCTGGATGTTTTACAAAAAGCTTTTGGGTGGCAAAATCCATCTCACACCACCTTGTGAGCGGCAGGCGTGTGACGAAGGACCGGGGCAGGGGGACGTACAGAGATGACTTGGCACTCGTGGGGGTTTCAGAAAGGAAAGAGACGAAAGTGGGAAGAACTCAAGAGGAAAGCTGCGACCGTGCAGGCACAGACAGGCTGACGAGGGAACTCTCGGAGTAGGAATGGCTGGACGCTAGCTGTCCATTCTGGCAGCCTGGTCCCCCCGCCCCAGACAGACCCCTGCTCCTCAGTCCCCTCGCACACAGAGTCAGAGCAGGGCATGTGCCCTGCGTGTTCCAGGCACTTACATTCTCCTGCTTCACGCTAACTCAGCACAGAACATAATTCAGTGTTTTCCTCCAATAATTGGGAACACTCTGCAGAGTTCCAATGATTACACTGGTGTCATCTTATCAAGAGACAACACAATCCATTATGGAGACACCTCTTTTCCATTTGCAGCCAAGGCCGAGCTAGCAGGATGCTTTCCTTGCACATACCTCAGCAAAAACCCGACCACCAGCGCATTTGCATATCGGTTCTGCGCGCAGGGAGCAGCAGCATAATGCGCAGCCAATTAATAACGCCAAGTGCCACGCGTAGCTGCGGTGATTGGCATTTGACTGGCAGCCAGTTTTACTGTGGCATTTAAACAAGGTTTCAATTAAAAGAAAATATCTGTGAGACCTGCAATAACAGAGACGATGGAAGAACCCTCCTCCTCCTTCCGTACTTTATTATAATACATCTGTATCATGCAGGTGTGTAACAGCCCCTCTTCGTCACACAACAGCAGGCATCCCACTAGCGACACAGGAACGCAGTAGTGCAAGTACAAGACGGGCAGGCACATGGCCTTAGGAAGGGGGTGATCTTGCACATCTGGGTCATATCGAGTCCCTCACGTGATACGTGCTCATCTGCTAGGCCTTGGGCCACACTGCGAAAAAACCCTGAGGAATATTCTGCAAACAAACCGGTTTAGGTTTATTTAGTGCCTGGCCTCCTTGACCCCAACACAAGAGTGTGGGAACGTTTTTCTGGCCCTTTGCTCCTGAAGCTCCGTGTCTGTGTCCCCATGCCCAACGCTGTCACCGAACCAGCCTTCTGCATCACACAACACATTTGAGCAACGGGAGACTCCACTCCCAAGCCAGCGGTCTCTTTCTCCAGCCTCGACTAACGCGACAGCGTCCGGCAGGCTCCAGTTGCTCAGGTGTGTCTGGGCATCCAGCCCCCAGCACCCGGGACTGCTGGGAATGGCACCAAGCAGATTCCTGAAGCAGCAGCTCACAGTACCCTGACACCTCTACCTACAGGCTCTGGTCAAGTCCCTGACTGCAAATGCAATTCATCCACTCTTCTCCCCTAGAAATCCTCGAGCAGGTGAGGTTAGGAAAGAACAAATCCCCTGGATGACATTCAGCGAGGCCTTAGCTCAAGACTGCCCTCCGGGGTCAGTATGCTCAAATATGCAGTAAGAGGTATTGAATCAGCCGTGTGCACCCTCCACAGCGTTCTGCTCATCTCACAAAGCTACGCTCCAGCCCCTGGGAAGACCGGCCAGGAGCTGACAGGCAACCCTCGCTCCCCTACGACGGTACCTTGGGCTGGTGGCAGAATCCTGCAGCCGGTGCTTAAAGACACAGACTGGTAGTTGCGACACGGCCAAGCTGCTCAGCACCGTGTTTCAAAACTTGGCAAGACCAAGTCACAGAGGCCTGGGAATTTCCAATTTACAAATTAAACAAAATACAAACCACCCAGTGAGTAAACCCAACAAACTGCTCGCTGTTGCTTGTCTAATTTTAGGTCAGGTTGTACTCAAAACCCTCAGACATCTGTGTGGTGACTCCCACAGCCACCGTGGATGCGGTACTTGACAGAATCAAGAAAATGAAACCACAGAAAGCCAGTAACAGCACTGCAAAGAGCTCACAGGACAACCCAAAAAGCACAGCCAGCACCGCACGGGGAAGGTCTGGACAGGAACACAAGCAGCACGAAGGGGAAGGGGAAGGGTGAGGTCCCACGGAGCGCGACGTGAAGCCGTGAGCTGTGCGCTGCTGCGCGGTGTCTCATGCAGGAGCGTGCTTTTGCATGCCGCTTCGTATCAAAGCAAACAAGCAGGAGAAATGCTGAGCATTCATCACACGCCGTGCAGAGGCCGCCGGAGCGTTTCCAAAGTTCCCAGTAGAGGAGCAGGCACCCTGACCGACGCAACAACCGCTTTTCGAAGGCCGAATTAATACAACGAAAGCATAAAGGATAGACCATTCGAAAGGAGCAGAGAAGAAAAAGT